GTCTGAACCCGTGGGCTCAGGCAATCCACTCACCTCAGCCTCCCAAAGGCACGGGATTACAGGCTGAGCCACCGAGCCCGGCTCAATGATCCTCTTTAGAGGGCTGCACTCTTTCTTATTCTCTGCAGTTCTGGGCCTGGGGACTGATGATGGCATCGACATTAGTTAAATGTTGAGGGTGTCCATATAAATAAACCTCTTGGAGTTCCTCAGTGAACTGAACTCAGCCTGGGCTGTCAGCCAGGAAGGTGTGGAACCGGCTGCCCCGACCCTTTGAACTTTGGTCCCTCGGCCGTGAGGATGACCTAGTTCATCCTCCTGGTTTGGGAGTGCTGTCTGATGAGGGCCTGGTAACACTGCCCTCCTCCTTCTGTGCAGCCTTTGAGTGTGAAATTCCCAACCTGGAATCTGGTGGGCTTCCCAAGATGGAGTCTTCTTGGTCCCCAGCGTGCAGAATGCAAGCCTCATAACTCAGGAGCTGTCACTGGCAAAGGCCGCCCTGTGACTTCTTGATCACGTCTTAGGCTGTAAGGCAGAGATCTTGATTTCTGACCCTGGAAGGCTGTGTTCCTCAGCACTGGGGAAAGGGAGGTGGGCGTGGAGACTGCATGTGGGGCCTACCAGCCAGTGCACACAGCTGGAAAGCACAGGCGGTTTCATTGGCTCATGTGGTATTTTTAAATCAGTCAATTTCACATTGAAAGGGAAGAATAAAGGTTTCTGGCCTAACATGAAAATCAAAAGATCTCCCAACTCAGTGCTTATATACCTATGGCAATCAGACATGGCTGGGTGGCACACTGCTTAATTTTAGGAGGGGCATTTTTGCCACAGTCCCCGTGCTTCCCATTGTCTCACACCTGGCCTGAACTTATACTCAGGTGCATCTCTGACCCCAGCCAAAGGGAATGTCTTGCACTGGGGTCCTAGCTCCTGAGTCTCCTGGGTGTGCTGTACTCTGGTGGTGGACCCTCATTCTGCCGTCTCTCCACTGTTGCCTTATCTATCCCAGAACTAATCGAGACTGCCTGTGTCTTGGATACAAACTGCCCCCTTCTAAAGAGGAGCAGGTGAGAATGCAAGGCATTAGGGACTACCTGGGTTTGTTTCCTCCTTGAATTTGTTAGTCCCAGCAAGAATCTGTGAAACCTAAAGTTGGGTGGCAGATTGGGGATGGAAACTGTTGCACAAAAAAGTAACGTCTGTGTCTGTTTGGCAGGTGGAAGGAAAGCAGGCCAGGATGGACATTTACGACACGCAGACCTTGGGGGTTGTGGTCTTCGGTGGTTTCATGGTTGTCTCTGCCATTGGCATCTTCCTGGTGTCGACCTTCTCCATGAAGGAAACGTCGTACGAGGAAGCTCTAGCCAACCAGCGCAAGGAGATGGCAAAAACTCACCAGAAAGTGGAGAAGAAAAAGAAGGAGAAAACAGTGGAGAAGAAAGGAAAGACCAAGAAAAAGGAAGAGAAGCCCAATGGGAAGATACCCGACCACGAGCCAACCACCCACGTGACTGTCCTCCGCCAAGAACCAGCACGGGCATCTGCTGTGGCTGTGGCTCCAACCCCAGTGCAGTCCCCCGTGGTCATAGCCCCTGTTGCCACGGTTCCCTCCATGACCCAAGAGAAACCAGCCTCCTCTCCTAAGGACAAAAAGAAGAAGGAGAAAAAAGTGGCAAAAGTGGAACCAGCAGTCAGCTCTGTAGTGAACTCCATCCAGGTTCTCGCCTCAAAGTCTGCCATCTTGGAAGCCTCTCCTAAGGAGGTGCCTATGGTGGTGGTGCCCCCAGTGGGTGCCAAGGCCAGTACCCCAGCCACTGGCACCACTCGGGGCAAAAAGGCGGATGGAGCCCAGAATCAGGGCAGAAAGACTGAAGGGGTTCTTAACCAGGGCAAAAAGGCTGAGGGAACCCAAAACCAGGGCAAAAAGGCAGACGGGGCCCAGAACCAGGGCAAAAAGGCAGACGGGACCCAGAACCAGGGCAAAAAGACAGAGGGAACCCCAAACCAGGGCAAAAAGGCAGACGGGGTCCAGAACCAGGGCAAAAAGGCAGAGGGAACCCCAAATCAGGGCAAAAAGGCAGAGGGAACCCCAAATCAAGGCAAAAAGGCAGAGGGAACCCCAAATCAGGGCAAAAAGACAGATGGGACCCAAAACCAGGGCAAAAAGACGGAGAGAACCCCAAACCAGGGCAAAAAGGCAGACGGGACCCAGAACCAGGGCAAAAAGGCAGATGGGACCCAAAACCAGGGCAAAAAGGCTGAGGGAACCCCAAACCAGGGCAAAAAGGCCGAGGGAACCCTGAACCAGGGCAAAAAGGCCGAGGTAACCCCGAACCAGGGCAAAAAGGCCGAGGGGACCCAGAACCAAGGTAAAAAGGTGGAGGGAACCCCAAACCAGGGCAAAAAGGCAGAGGGAACCCCGAACCAAGGAAAAAAGGTGGAAGGAATCCCAAACCAGGGTAAAAAGGCAGATGGGGCCCAGAACCAAGGTAAAAAAGTGGAAGGGGCTCCCAACCAGGGCAAAAAGGCAGAGGGAACCCCAAACCAGGGCAAAAAGGCAGAAGGAACCCCAAGCCAAAGCAAAAAGGCTGAAGGGGGCCAGAACCAGAGCAAAAAGACTGAGGGAATCCCAAACCAGGGTAAAAAGGCCGAGGGGGGCCAGAATCAGGGCAAAAAGGCAGAGGGAACCCCAAACCAGGGCAAAAAGGCAGAGGGAACCCCGAACCAGGGCAAAAAGACAGAAGGAACCCCGAACCAGGGTAAAAAGGCTGAGAGTGCCCAGAACCAGGGTAAAAAGGCCGAGGGGGGCCAGAACCAGAGCAAAAAGACTGAGGGAACCCCAAACCAGGGCAAAAAGGCAGAGGGAGCTCCTAACCAGGGCAAAAAGGCCGAAGGGAGTCCCAACCAGGGCAAAAAAGGAGAGGGGGCTCCCAACCAGGGCAAAAAGACAGAGTCCGTCGCTAACCAGAGCACAAAGGCAGAGGGTGTTACAAACCAGGGGAAAAAGGCAGAGGGGGTCCCCAGTCAAGGCAAAAAGGCAGATGGATCTCCCAACCAGGGCAAAAAGGTGGATGCAGCTGCCAATCAGGGGAAAAAGGCAGAATCAGCTACTAACCAGGGCAAAAATACAGATGTGGTCCAGAACCAGGAGGCAGCAAAACAAGAGGCTCCTGCAAAGAAGAAGTCTGGTTCAAAGAAGAAAGGTGAGCCTGGTGAGTAACTCGGATTGCTTGACGGACGTGGCGGGAAAAGCTGTCTTCAGATGGCTCATGGATTTTCTGGGGGGTGCCATCTATATCAATTAACTGTCGCCACAATAAGGCTGTGTAACAAACATTCCTAAATCTAGTGACTCACAGCAGCCACCATTCGTTTCTGCTCCTGCTTCTGGAGTGGTCTGGAGTTGGCTCTCCTAGGTTGGCTCTGCTGGTGGCTCTGTCTCGAGGTGTGGTTTAAACCAGATTGGCCCCTTGCTGCAGGTTGAGCTAAGGTCTGTTCCACGTTTGTTCCTTTTGGAGTCCTCCAGGGCAGGAACCTTCTCTGGTTAGCAGAGACACAAAAGGGCATCATTTCAGGCAGGTCTGTTTCAGCCAGCATCCTACTGGCCAGAGTGAGTGATGAGACAGCCTGCGTCAAGGACTCGGGAGTCCACCGTGTCTCGAGGGTGGGGGACAGCGAGGCATGGGAAAGGAGAGGTGAGGTGTCAGGAACAGCAGTTCCATCCCCCATGCAGTCTAGAATGCCTCTGTGTCTTGGCAAGTCTTTCTCGTCCTCACTTGATGCTGTAGTGTATCTTGCTCATTTATCTCTGTGCGTGAAGAAAGGCAGGATAATGTTTTCAGGGAACAATTGCATTTCTTCCCCCAGTCTTCCCTCTTCCCTGCCCCACCCCACTCATTCAGTGAAGCATTATAGAATGCTAACATAGATATTATGTTACATAGATGGATATTAGGTCATATAGAACAGTGGTTTGCCTGTGTTGATTTGTGTATATTTACTGTAGAAATTGGGCCAGGGGCTGGGTGCAGTGGCTCACACCTGCAAATTCCAGCACTTTGGGAGGTGGAGGCAAGAGGACTACCTAAGCCCAGGGGTTCCAGACCAGCCTGGGCAACATGGTGAGACCATGTCTCTATGAAAAAGTAAAAAGATAATTAGCCGGGCGTGGTGGCACATGCCTGTATTTCCAGCTACTTGGTAGGCTGAGCTGGAAGGATCGCCTGAACCCAGCAAGTTGAGGCTGCGTTGGCTGTGAGCATGTCACTGCACTCCAGCCTGGGCAACAGAATGAGACTCCGACTCAAAAAAAAGAAATTGGGCCAGGGAGTCCCTATTTTGTATTCATCACTCATTTGATTTCACTTAGGTTTTCTTTTTTCTTTAAAGTCTTCGAATAGCCATTAGCTACTTTGGAAAATTAATTGCATTTGTGTTGACAAAAGCTATCTTATGAAATGTCTGGCCCTGGGCTAGGTGGCACAGGCCCTGTGTCTGTAGCTGGGTTTCTCTGCTTTGCTGCTCTGTCAGGCTCTGCTACCTTTCCTCAGATTTCCTCCTCCGGCTTCTGACAGGGCATTTGCTCAGGCAGCAGTACCCTGCCACACAGGAGGGGTGTCATCCCTCATAAGTGGCTGTGGGCTCCTGCCGGAAGTCAGGGACCAACCAGGTACGACAGTCTCACACACCATTTGAAAACCTAGGTGTTCGGGCTCCCTTGTTCCAAAGGCTGGCAGGTGGCACACGGCCCTTTCTCCAAGCCAGGGCTGGCACTTGAGGCCCAGCTGCTCTTCTTTTCTCCCACATCAGCCAGGTCCAGACTTCCCGTGTCCCCTGGTCATTATTACCTCAAGTGGCTTAGATGGTCAAAATAAGATGTGAATCAGAAAGTGATGACAATATTGGAAAGGAAGACGAAATTGTCCTAATTTGCAGGTAATGAAGAGCCTTGTAAGCGATGAGACCTGCGTGTAACCTCTGAACCTACACAACAGCTTGATTGAGGTGTTAACAAGAAAATTTGAGCCAAAAATATATTGTGTTCTAGGATAAGGAAGATTATCTACTACAGGTTAAAGGAGAGTCATTCTCTAGGTAACTTTCTGTCATTATTCTGGCCAAACTTTCAATGGAATTTTTTCCCCCCAACTTGACAAAATTATCCTAAAAGTCCCATCTGAGGGAGAAAAAGGTAAGAATATTGAACAGAACAGACATTTTTTTTTTTGAGTCGGAGTCTCACTCTGTTGCCCGGACTGGAGTACAGTGGCATGCTCACAGCCACTACAGCCTCAACCTGCTGGGCTCAGGCGATCCTTCTGTTTCAGCCTTCTAAGTAGCTGGAACTACAAGCATGCACTACCATGCCTGGCTAATTTTTTAAAAAATTTATTGTAGAGACGAGGTCTCACCAAGTTTCCCAGTCTGGTCTTGATCCCTTGGATTCAGGCAATCCTTCCACCTCTGCCTCCCAAAGTACATGAGCCACCGCACATAGCCGAACTATTGAAGTTGGAGTCTTACTCTGTCATCCACGCTGGAGTACAGTGGCACAGTCAGTGGCCACCGCAGCCTCGACCTGCTGGGCTCAGGTGATCCTTCTGACTCAGCCTTCTAAATAGCTGGAACTACAGGCAAATGTCACCACGCCCAGCTAATTTTTTGATTTATTGTAGAGATGAGTTCTCGCCAAGTTGCCCAGGCTGGTCTCGAACCTGTGGGCTCAGGCAGTTCTCTCACCTCACCTCCTAAAGTGCTGGGATTAGAGGCGTATGCCACCACGCCTAGCCCAGACTTTTTTCAAGTGACTTTTAGAAAACCAGTCCTGTCTGATGTGTGAACATCCACCCAACTGTTATAATTACAAGTGGGAGAATAGAATGGTCTTGGAATCGACGTGTCACACCCGAGAACTTGAATGCAAGGAGCTTCATGCTGCTATAGGGAGAGGAAGGTGTTCAGTGGATGAGCCAAGGCAGCAGGGTCACAGGTCACTACTTGGGAAAGTCTGTTTGGACCCTGCACTCCTTTCCCCCATCCTCCCTCCACCAAGCACTTTCCTCTCTATAAAAAAATTAAGGTTTGGATGAAATAGATTTAATTTAAAATAAATATTGACACACCTTGATGGTGGGAGATGGTCATCCTGATGTTACTGTGAGAAAATCACCAAGGCCCACGTAGGAGCTTGAGCCCATAGACTGCCACATGGGACTGTCAGGCCGGGGTGAGAAGCAGAGGCACAGGGCAATATGTGCAGTTGATCTGGTTTCTGAAAGTCTGGAAACATGGGGAGAATTCACGGAGTCGACTCAGCCTATTTTCCTGTGGTTGGTGTGTGAAGGCATCTCTGGGACTGCCCCGGGGTGGGGAAGCAGGCCACTTTCTCACAGACTCCCTAGAGGTCCTAGAGATGTCCCCACCCAAAGCGCTTCCCAATGTTAGTGTGCACAGGAATTGCTGGGGAGCTTGTTCGGCTAAAGATTCTGACTTGGCAGGTGGGTGGGGCCTGAGGTTCTGCATTTCTGACCAGCTCTCACAAGATGCTGATGCTGTTGGTCCCAGGGCCACACTTGGGGTTAGTCAGGACCCCGAAGGCATTTGCATGTAGCTAGCAAACAATTTTGAGAATTCACATAAAAACAAATAAGCTTTCTTAAGAATTATTAATATAATAAAAAACCATGGATGTGATTTTTAAAAGTGGTGGCCTTGTAAATTGTGTGACCCTTTTGAAAAGCAATTTAGCAAGATGTTCTCCTGGGCTCTCCAAACCATGGCACCAGTTCTGTGGGTTGGTGGCCTCAGTGCATTCTGTCCCACCCAGCCACTGACAGTGAACACTGTGAAGATTCCATGGTAACATGCAAAGACATGGTCACCATGTGGCTTGTAATTAAACAAGTGGGAGACCAAATTCTTTAGATAATATGATCATGACAGAAGACAAAAGAACTTAGATAAGTGAAAATATTAAAAATAACTTTAGGAAATATACCACAATGACAGCTCCAGTTTTCTGAGTTTTTTCTTTAATGCAGTAATATCATATATATATATATGATATATATGACAGAGTGAGACTCCAATTAAAAAAAAATTATATAATTTTTTTTTAATTGGAGTCTCACTCTGTCACCCAGGCTGGAGTGCAGTGGCATGCTCACTACCACTGCAGCCTCGACCTGCTGGGCTCAGATAGTTCTTCCACCTCAGCCTTCCAAGTAGTTGGAACTATAGGCATACACCACCACGCCCAGCTAATTTTTATGATTTATTGTAGAGACAAAGTCTCACCAGGTTGCCCAGGCTGGTCTCGAACCCATGGGCTCAGGCAATCCTCTTGCCTCCACCTCCCAAAGTGCTGGGATTACAGACATGAGCCACTGCTCCTAGCCAATATTTTATTTTTCAAAAGTCCAAAGGCCTTGTAAGACAGCATTGGGTCTCTGGCTGTGACAGTGCCCCCTGGAGTTGGAGACACCAGTTGGTAAGGCCTCCAGGCACATGTCCCGGACAGGAGTCTGATGATGAGCTGCTGAAGCAGAGAATTTCCTATTAAAACCCTACTGATGATCTTTAGAAATTATTTTAGGGGCATGAAATTGGGTCTTGACATATCCTTTAGAAACTATTTTAGGGGCATTAAATTGGGTCTTGATATATCTTAAATACTCTATTCATCATTCCAAAAATAAAGCAATAATGGCACTTCCTTAATTCCAGATGTTAAAACAACACAGAGATACCTGGAGGGCAGGAGTTGCTGATACTCCTGCATGGGACTCCCTGGACGCAGCTCAGCATGTCGGGCCTGCATGTGGGTCTGTCTCAGTAGTTCTGGGATGAGATGCAGAGAGGGAGCCACAAGACAAACCTGAGAGGGTGAGGGTCATTTTATAGTGACCAGGGACTTGGTGGCTAGGTCCAGAGCTCTCCAGCCACGGTGAGATGACCCTCCGTGAGTCTCAAGCAGCAGAAGCTCAGGATAGGGATTGAGGCATTCATGAATGAGGAAGGAGGTGGGTAGAGACGCACACAGTAGGGATGGGGCCTGAGAGTCTGAGTCCTGAAGGCCCAACTGGCCAGCACATGTCTTTAGTCTGCTCCTGTTCTGGAGAATCAGTAGTGTGCACTGGTCGGGCTCAAGTTCATCCACAGAAAACCTTGGGGTCCTTTATGCATCTGCAGTTCCGAGGTCCTA